TACATAGAAAATATTAACCCATAACGGACGGCCAGTGTATTTTTGCGTGCGCCACCATGTGGCGCACGCCGCCACCCAGGGTAGGGTTTATGTAGGCTTATGTGAACAGCAGGGGTAAGACGGGGCTAAAGTAGGTGTCGGAGTCTCATCATCCGAAAAAAGAGATTTCCGTTGACGACAAGTTCGTAGCCCGCCTTTCCGCTCTAAAACTAGGGTGCAAAGAATGAATGGAAGCTGTAGGTGACATTATCGAAAAATGCGAAACAACAACCCCGAGCAAGGATGTGGCTATATTTAGGGGAAGGGGTCTCGGGACGTGCGAACCATGGGTAAGCCACCCATCAAATAGTAAACTTATGTAAATTAAGACAAAATTTATTGTAGGTTTGTCAAAAATCCAGCCGTCCAGGTCCTGGGAAGATATGTTATTCCACATTGCTGAGAGTATATATGGGTATATTAAGATTGCTAGAAACATTCCAAAAACAAAAGAAATAGTCGTGCGCCACCTTGTGGCGCACGCCGTCCGTTATGGGTTAAATTATCAGAAACCGCCCACGGATGACGGTAGCCTCCTGCTCCTCCTCTCATCTGACTGTACGACATCTGCCGCTGACGCTGAGTTTCGGCGTTAATAAGATTGCGTAGGCCATACACTTCATGTAAGTCCATTTGCCATTGGGAAAAATGCTCTAAAAGCTTGTGATTGGAGAACGTCAGAGAACACGAAGTTCTTGGCTTGTCCTTCACGACTATAATCGGAGCTGCTTCAATCTGAGGTGGCTTCGGAACCGTTCATCGACCTCGCTATTCGGAGACAGGTCAGCAGTCGTTCCACTTCACATCAGGTTTAGCGATCTCTCCTTGGGGTATCGATGCGACTCTCACCAACCACCCTTGAAATTAGAGACTCCAAAAACTGCACTCACCTCCACCCGATTACCATTTTTCGCCATTGCTCATCTAAGTAATGACACATTTGTTGTGCTGTACAATTTAGAATAGACTGCAGCTTGGCTGAATCAACAACGACCTGTTGTGCGTAATGCATGCATTACGAAATTGATATCAAGGTATGGAAAAATTACCGAGTTAACAAAAGGGAAAGGGCTGGGGCCTCTGGACTGATATGGCACTTACATTCCTTAGAGCGAAGCGAAGCCTTACTCGGCATTCGCCGCTTCGTGCGGAGCTGCGACCACAAGGCACCAACCCTGTTTGGCTGGCCGGTTGAGAGTTGCCTATCTGCATTACGAGAGTTGCAGGAAGGGAAAGCAAGCGCTTTCACACATGATGTCACCGCCGTATTCGCCGTTGTGAGAATTTCCGCGACATTTTCGTCGTCTGAGTCGCTACCATGTCCAGCAGCTCACCATAGACATCCAACGTGACTGCACGTTCTTCTATTAACAGTTCATGCACTGTGGTTCCTACAAGACGGGGAAAAAAACCGTTATCCTGCGTGCGAATACTGTTTCGGCGTTAGCGACTATCTGTCGCGTCCACACTAACGATAGCCTACTGCTTTTACGCTGGAGCACCTACGTTTTCGTTTGCTATTCGGAGGGCCTCTTCTCACAGAAAAGCCCGAATTATTTTAGTGCTTTTTAACTTCTCATGAAGCTAAGTCGGTATTCACATTCACGTGGATTGGGACGCATATTACTTTGCCGCTTCTCTCCAAGTCGGGGTTGTCAAGTGACTTGAAAAGGTTGCACACGACTGTGTACGCTAGAAAGCGCGTCGGCTGCCGGTAATCGGCTCTCGAGAGAGCGAGAAGCTTCAACGACAACTTTGGTAAGCATTCAGCGCGTAAGACTCGTCAAGAGAAAATACCACAATCGAAACGAACCAACCAGGGTCAACCGTCCGTTCGAACTGTTCGAACGAAGGGGTCGCATTTTGGTCGGAAGGGGGTCGCAATTTCGAGGACTGCCAGCCACAGGCGCGTGCGTGGCGTATCCGAGGGCAAGAATTGTTTGTGCAGACCGCATTAGATTCGATTAATTATGCACAGAGAGACAGTTTAGGCAAATTACGGTGTTTTCCTTGAGGAATAAAGAACAGTTGAATGCATCCCTATGAAAGGTTTGACTTCTCGGGGCTGAAATTAAAGTTCTTCGGGACCTGATTTTCTGTGGTGGACGCCGAGCGAAGATTATCCGAGCATCTTCAAAAAATCTTCGCCCCTCCCCAACAAGTTCTTTGAAGGAAGTTATTATTGCTGAAAGCTCAAAAACTCGCATGTGCTGCTCAAAAACCTATGGGAACAAAATGTTCGAACGTGTGATTTTCTCGGAAAATGGATTTTGAAAAACGGTTTGGTGCTTTTCAGAAAGAGCAAATCCTGCACTTTCACCCATGAAAAAAGTGCATCACAGAAATGAAAATGAAGTGAGTTATGCCCGCTTAAAGCCCAAAAACTCGCGATTTCAAAAAAAGTGTTCGGCAAAACCCCCCAAAATGTTCGAACGTGTGATTTTCTCGAAAAATGAACTTTGAAAAACGGTTTGGGCTTGTTAGAAAGAGCAAATCCTGTGCTTTCACCCCATGAAAAAAGTGCATCACAGAAATGAAAATGAAGTGAGTTATGGTCGCTGAAAGCCCAAAAACTCGCTTTTGCACGAAAAATGTTCGAACGGGACAATTTTTGAAAAAGGGGACAATCACTAAACTTTTTATACTATTTTGTTAGAGAAATATTTGAAGTTTCTGAAACTTTTTACAGATTTCCAAAATGTCGCATACGAAAGATTTTATGGGCCTTCAAAGTTGAAGGCGCCTTCTTAGAATTTTGGGTTTTCCACTTCTAACAGAAGTACTTTCCGGAGAGTTAGGCAATCCTTGTAGTTTTCTGGAAGCGCACCTCAGGCACAATCAAAATCTACCTCAACAAGTCAAAAAATACGTCCCAAGAAAGTTATTCCCTCTAAAATTTTTTCTTCGCCGCGTCCCGTTCTTCCAGCGCCCGGGTGATACCTGCCGCGCTCCAAGGCCGACGCGACGACGCGCAGACGCTTTCTGGCGCAACGGATTCATGTCTAGCACTCTTATTAACAAAAACAGGGGGTCGCAACTGGACCCCCTCGAGAGCTAGGGGGTCGCAAAAATCCCGAAAATGTTCGAACGTGACGGTTGACCCTGGCACAACCATAAGCTGATACCGACAAGTGCCAATCCAGAGCCATCGTAATACACAATTGCACTGTCTTTAGCTGAACTCCTCGATAGCCAGACGGATCCCATCTGCAACCCATTAGTTGTTTCTGAAAGGCCTCGAGCAGAATGGAAAAACTCGTCAATAAATTCCTGCTACCTAAACAAGATCTCGCGAGGCCGTAAAACTCAAAAAGAGAGGCCTCCATTCCGCCCGGTGTGGCTCTTCCTTGGTTTTTTCTTCACCACTACACCACCACCTTTAAATTGTCGCAGCAGAGAAACGGTTCAGAAAGTTGTAATCAACCTACTTCATGGCTTAACTAATTTTTATAACTGATTGTGCCACTACCTACGATGTATCGACATAACTGTGAACAAATACAAGCCGACCTTTTGGTGAATTCACCTCGAGTCGCCTGGCGAATCCCTTCGAAAGCTGACAAGCGTTCGGCTAGCGCGTCGGCCACTGCTCGACTCCCATGTACGAATAATTCAGCGGTATCTTCACCAGTGAATGTGGACGGACCTAAGACAATTAATAAATGACTACTTCATCCGCTTAACAATACCATCCGATGGCCCAAGGGCAGCGGCGGTTTTCATTGACATCATGTTGGTTTCTTTGGTGCAACAAGACCCCTCAGAGCAGCTGGGGGGTAGTAAAGGATTGTCTCTTGGGGGAAGATTCCATGACAAGGTCGAAGGTCGGAGAATAGGAAACTCACCTAGTGGGAAGACAGGCGGATCTCCTGAGCGTGCTTACCGACAAGGAAAGGATATGTCGCCGGCAATCTAGCATGGCTCTCCCCGCGGCGCTTCGGACGTACGCCACGCACTGCTAATCTCGCAGGTATATCGCGCGTGTGCAAGATAGCCAAAAAGAGCGTTAGTTTTGATAGCGCACCAACGAATGAGAGTTGCATCAATGCGGAAATCAATGGGCAAGGAAGGGGTCCCATTTCTCGGGTTCTGAGCCGTTCTCATGGTTTTTCTTCATCTCTGCACCACCATTGATCACCTTCCACCCTTTATTATAATGAGCTGCCTTCTCATGTGAACTACCAACAACGTTCAACGACATCATCAAACCCCCGCACAACTCTCCAGCCGTTGTGATCGCCGCCTTTAAAATTCACTCTACCTGGCATGTACACCGCCATTGCTGTGTCGAGAATTTCATTCTCTTTTGTGTATATTTTCGTATAACGCATTTCGCGCGGTTTCCATTTTTGCTTTCGAGAAATTTCACGTAGAACAGGTAGAGATCGAGTCCCTAAACAAATTATGGCTATGGACTTCGGGCAAAAACATGGATACGTAAAGCGATAAGGTAGCAAAAGGCAGTGATTATGAAAGCAATTACCGAATTAGCCACAAACCGTCATCGACTCCTTCAAGACTTTTTTATGGCATATACAGGCATGAAATCAAATACAATTGCAATTTTTATCGAACTATGGGAAAGACGTGGTGCAGTGGTAAGTGGCATCAACTACCACTCTATGAAGTCAAACCCCGTTGGAATCTCGCCCACGCTAACGGAGCCTTCAAAACCCTTCGGTCAGTAAATTGGTACTAGAATCGTTTGGGAGGATCGAACATTGCCTTGTATTTACACTGATTACCCTGCCAAGTCACCGCACGGATTAAATCACATTCAAATGTCATTACGATTTTGAATGGAAGCAGAACACGTGGCGCATCCAGGAAGGAGTATTTGACGCTGGAAACGAGCGCCATCACATCACCTCAAATTCTTGTTCACTGGGTTTTGAGTGGTAAATACACAAAACCTTGGATGGTGCAAAATAATTTTACAATGTTAATCGTGGTGAAGATACCTGGGGGTAGAACGGTCCCAGTAATGAATATGACGCCTACTATTGGCACCAGCGCTATCTGGGAAACTTGGAAGATTCAACCCAAAATGCAAAAATTTTGATACTATGAGAATTGAACCTTTGATCATTTCACCACCACTTGATGGCCGAAAATGGGCCTCGGTTTTGTAACCCACCCATGAGTTCCTATCACCTGTATCACCTGTCACCTGTCGTCCCGTTGATCATCGAATTGCTCGAGCGGGCGCCAGCAACGTCTCCATTCGTCCCTGTCGCGTGCAAGAGTTGTCCAGTGGACCCTCCTCGCTCGAGGGACACGATGTCCTTCATTCCTTTCGTTCAGAGCTTTCGTGAAGAAGTCTGACCATCGGGCCGGCGGTCGTCCAGGTGTTCGTTTTGACGTCCCGAGGATCCACCCGTCAGCTAATCCGCTCTAATCCAGCGGTCATCACAGAATATCGTGTCTGGCCCCACACCTATCTTGGGTAACCAACCCCAGGAAGCCCCCGTACGCGGCAAGACAGCAAAGTCATGCGGACGACGTCGTGCGCAGTACTATAGAAGATATTTCCGCGTAATATCACATATGTTATCGCAAACCTCCCGCCCGCTGCTCCATCCGTACCACACCCTCGCAACTCAGCTATCTGCCGACTCGCCTTCTCGACCGCGCCGAACACGGTGCCCTCCTCTGGGCCCGCCCACCACCCCCCACCTGCACTCTCTATTCATGTGCGAAGATTGCGATTCCCACTACGCGCATTTGCCGTGTATAGGTTACCCCATACATCGTCCCTTCGACAACAGAATACCCGCCATTGGATAACGCTGACCGCATGCTCGTCCTGCCTGCGCAGAGTCCAAGTCTCTGAGGCGTAGGTTAGGGCAGGAAGGACAGCGGAATCGAAGAGGTGGGCACACAGAGGGATGTTCTTCGTCTTCTTCACTACTCCCTCGATGTTCTTAAAACCGCTCCCACACACACACATGCCGCTCGTTTCTGCCTGCTCAGCTCTAGAACTAGATGTTCACTCGATGTTGAATCTTCCGCGACCTATATACATATCAAGACGAGCATCGTGATTGTCTCGTTCTGCTTGCACTTTCTAGATACTGCGTGAGGCATTCAAGGAACCCGAAAAATCCCGATTTCTCATAAACAGCTTTACGAAGCTTCCCTACAGAATGAGTTCCTATAAGAATGGAAGCCAAAAGACCAAGCAGTTTTTGAAAAAGCGCGCGCTTCCAACACACCCTGAAAGACCTTCTCTTGTATTGTGGACATCTGTCACTGTATGATTTCGAATGATGGAGGTTTGGTTACCCTTTAGGCACAGATTTGTCTCCTTCGATTTCAAATGTTCTGATAGTGGCGCGTGATACAGCAGCACACACTGCCACTGTCACCACATTCCGCCCGATAAAGTTGATGTTTGGTATAAATTATCACACTCCCATTAACTATTCAGAGCGGCTCCCAAAGTCCTGAGAAAATAAGTTCAAGTTAACTCTGGTAACTGTCCTCGTAGGCGTGAATAACGCTCGAGAGAATTCCTTCGACCATTGACTTCTGTACTGTGGTGAGCGTAGCGTCGAGATCGAGTGTACGCCCGCGACAGCAGCAGGCTGCTCGTGCGTCGACGAAAAGTGAATTCCACACAGGAGCGTGGCTGAACAGGCGAAAACCTTTCGACGTGTCGTCGACGAATCCTCGACCTGATACACCCTGCTTTCCGGCCAGCTAGTTAGTCAATTCTGTTTCCTCTCTTCAAGGACCTCTCCCTCCCCTATGATAGTGATTTGATTTACACAGCAACCATTTCATACCTGAGATCCTAAACACCGCAATCGCCGACGGTAACGCACCCGAACTGAGTGCAAAAATTGTAGCCATCGCTGAAATTAGCGCAAAGTATTCTCACAACACATTTCAGAAGTGAAAATATTAAGAAATCTGTCTGCTGTTATTGGCAACTCATTGATTGATGAACACGAATAAGAAGCTGATATTTATTTAAGAATCATTTCTTTCGTCACCCAGCAATCCTTGTACTCTTTTGCTGAGATTCACTCAACGATTGGAGCATTCTTTTTAGGGTAAGCTGCTCCACGGTCAACCTCAGTGATTGAAACATCCGTGAACAGTGCGCAAAAATGAAGAGGTCACCGACATCGCGATTGTACTGCGTGCCCGGCAGTAGATTACAGTCGTTTGCACGGCTTCAGAACAGGTGGAGATGCAGACATAAAGGGCTAGATAGAACCTACTAAGGGAAAAAATGCGAGTGTCGCTCGATGTTGCAACCGCCGCGCACGCGACCCGATCAAGGGTGCGCGACGTCGCGCAGTGACCTCTTGCTGTCCATCCCTCCAGAATGACAATATCTTGAGGTTCGCCACAGAGCACCTCCAACAACATAGGTCTCTGGCAAGAAGCGGGTGAAGAACCACAGCAGATCCAGTGACATTAAATATAGTATCAAATCTTACAAAAGTCACAATTACAAACGTGATAGAACAACGAGACCATATTGAATTACCCGAGAAGCACATGTAAATATATGGAACTGCATTGAAATTCGGGACAAGCGATAAAAAGATGAGAAAATCAACAACTTCACAGACCTGGCAATGTGTCAAAAAGAACAAGCTGATAGTAAAACAACTCAAGAACCGGCAATGGGAAAATCCAGTAAGAGAAGTATGACACAAGAATGTTAACCGCTTATTTCACATCACATAGATCAAGAAATAGCCGTGGTTTGCTTCTAGCCGATGAATTTGAATATGGACATAAAGGAAAATTACAGTGCAGGAAAGGTGCTGCTGGCTTCTATGAACTTAAAAAATTCCTCTAAAAAATTGTCGCCGAGCCAACGATCACATAAATTACTGTTTTCTAGACTGCCTAGAATAGTCTAGAGCACTGACGATAAAAGTCGCTTTCTATGACGGTTCTCGGTATCTCCCTCCACCTAGCTATGAAGAGGTTTCATTCCCTGGCGACATAGTGGATAAGACCTAGAGGACAAAAAAATTGATTTTGGCATAATACCGCTTGCTCAGGTCATAATATCGACCCAGGAAGGCATTCAAAAGCTTTTAATATCACGATCGGAGTTAAAGGCAAGCCTCGGAATAAAACAGGTGAGGGAGTAGAGGTGAAGAATGGTCTGGAAAAGAAAAAGAAAGCAAGGAAACCTCCGATCACGCCCCGAATAAGGACCTCCTCTATTTCAGCCGCATTCCACCTTGGGATAGAGAAGGGGCGTGTTGGACGAGTTTCACGAACCTAGCTCCAGTTGCTCCAGTGCCAATGACATTGAACCGCAATGGGACCGCTGCCGCAATGCGCCCGCGCTTTTCAAGCAGCGTCACGTGGCAACCGACAGCGGAAGGCGGGGCTTGCGGACGAAGGTGTGGTTGCGGGTCGGACGAGCTTCTTGCGCCTTTGTCGCGCACTTTCAAGCCGCAAAAGGGGCGCGACATCAACGCTTGTCCGCCTGTCTACTACGCTAGAGTATGGAACAGGCTAAGCGTGCCTTTAATGCATAGGGCGTCTCTACGAAGTCGATCAGTGGTGAGCCCTTCAGCCCCTACTATTACAGTTTAGGTATGAAAAAAACTAATACACGTCATATTGATCTGTTTGTCAACAAAATTTCAAACTAACAACTGTTGAAGATCAGCAGAAATTTCAAAAGAAAAGATCAAGATCAAAACAGCCAACAGCTCCGATGTACACTTTCTTATGCGAAAAGGTCTGCATGGGACTTGGCTGTGAACTCCAGCTTTCCCCTACATCAGTAACAGGCGAGTTCCAGAAGCCCATGAACACATTAGCCACGTTTAGTCGCGTTCACCTGGGCTCTTCTATTTGTTATAGATATCATTACGCATACACCCCATCATTATTATCCTTTCCCTTCTATCCTCAAGTACCCGCAAACACTCCCTAATATTTGGTATCAAAAATTTCGGATCAGCCACATAGGCTAACAACTTTGGCGGTAGCGGCAACTCTGATATCCGATCCTGTCGAACCGTAAGCCTGATTTTCAGTCGACAAAGGTACTGTAAGCGAGGGAGCAGTGACAGACGAGAGAGAGGATACTGTAGGCGAATTTCCGACGCCTCCGCCTCTTCGCCACGTCGATGCATCAGGATATCTCGTTCGCGGCTATAGGATATCTGCAAAATAAATTGATAAGATTGGCTTCTCAGAGATGAAACAATAAGCAAAAAGAAAAATAATTCTTACTTGGATGGCATGTTTCAACAAATCCACTACACTCTCTGATCGTTCCAACGACAGCGGTCCACCAAGGTGGGCGAATTGACCACTTATTTCTACACGAGAATGGAATACCTTTTCTAAAATTGTCAGATTGAAAAATATCATCGGTTCACCAATGACCGTAAAAAGGGAGATTATAAAGGTATAAAAGCACTAGGCCTTGATCAGCCCTCTTTGGAAAAAGCCAAAAATTAATCCTCTTCCAGGAATCGCGATGAGTTTCATATGGTCAGTCACGACTTACGGGGGGCCGGTGTACGCAGTGGAACTGTCGGAAGGGCCAAGTTGGGCACGCAAGCGGCGTGCTTTGTAGGTGATCTAACTGGGAAGAGAACTAGGATTGACCTATTGATTTGCATGCCGAAGAGTATATAAGGGGGCAACCTCCCAGACAGTTATTTTTTCTGCGATTTCGACTCGACGTCCACCCTTCGACTGTTGCTCATCCCCGACGGAACTCCCATCCCCTCAGTGTCGCTGTTGAAGGATTTTACCGCATTGTCATTGTATCGTTTTTTCATCGTTTCGTGTTCATGATTTTGCCGAATAAAGTGTTCGGTCAATCTAGTGTCTTGTTTGTCGGTAGGTCACAAACCGAAACTTATTGGAGATTCCAAACTGTCCAAAAGCATGCAAGACTACTACTAATTGACCGACCACAGAAAGGAAGGCCTCGGTAGCCAGAGCGCAACTTCGATCCATGCTTTGTCATCGAGAAACTTAAGCGATTCCCAACTACAAGGCAAAAGCACAGCTCATTCGTTACGAGCAATGTCACCATCGCGAGATAGAACGAAAAGGAGTACGGAAGTGCAAAACATAAAGCGACTAGCGACTAGGCGAATACGAAAAAAAAACTCTAGAATCAGGTTTACTGATGCTGGAATTAAAAATACGTCCGTAGGCATGACCGAATGTTGACCATTAACACTTCCCTCACACCATGATTCAACCACAATAATTATATTGAGAAGGGTGTACCACTGCAGTATTCATAGAACACGGACCAAAACAACACCAGAACTCCGCCCCGGTCTAACTAGCCATACAACTCCTCGGTACCAGGTAGTTTGCAGTATATTCGCTCAATTTGAATACGGGCAGGCCATGCCGTTCACTGCATAACGCCAACACGCACTCGAATACCACAGTGATTTTGAGTGAATTGGTGCATCCCAAAAAGGTGCTGATTCAAGCCATTCGCTTTTTCCTTCTTCAAACCAAACAAAAATAACGATCGTACCTGAATGCTTGTAGCTGACCGTGAAAAGATGGTTGTCACTGTGGCTGTCTCTCACAAGAAAGGCTCCGTCCTCGCATAGTAGCAACAGCTTCTCTGCGTTTCTCCATGACAAATCTCCCCAGTACCTGGAATGCTTCCTTCAACCGTCACCAGTGAGTTGAACTCCATTACTTAATTTTCAATTATCAACATTTTCTAAGACCATAAATGTGTAGGAAATCACCGCTGCTGATATTAAAACTTTCAAGAAGTTCCCGTTGACAAAAATATTTTGAGATTTTCTTAAAATTATATCACCCTGGGCCTCCTTCCTGAATAACTACTGCTCGTGACTTTTTTGAATGGAATATAATATTAACTGTGGAATTCCCTTCTCCCTACTACTACTACTGTACATGAACGCGTGTGTTCTTCACTGAGCACACTCCTCTCTACAGTCACATAAACAAATGTAGTCGGGAGCTCCATGAAGAAGAGCCCTATTTGATGTGCCCCTTGAATCTTCCAGCATTTCCCCATTTCTCCCCACTAGTTTCACGCCTACAATCCGAACAAGGACAGACCTGCGTACTGAATGAATTTAGAGTGCTCGCAAAAAACCGGGACTGCGTTCGGTCGATCCATTCTAACAAATAATAAAAAAAAACATAGACACTTTCCTTACCATGGGCAAGATTTCAACTCGGCTAGCCTTTTAACCCACGAATTGGGCGTCGAGGATGACGATGATGACGACGAGGACCAGCGGAATGTAGACGTCGACGGTTGCCCTTGCATAAACCGCACACCTCCAACTGATCATCATATGTGATTTTTTTTTCAAAAGAAAATCATGATAGCTTGGCGTTATGGTACCACTGACATTCATATTATCAACAGACAAAAGCAATAAAATACACATTTATTATCGAAAGATATGTACATGTGCTATGTATCCGTAGTAAAGAAAACCGTCGTCAAGCATTTGCAAAAAATAGCTAACATTACAATTTGCAAAATCACAACTTATTATCCATTTTTTGAACTTAAGATAACGCTAAATAGACTAGAGAATGGAAACGACGTGCTCTGCACCTCTACACAAAAAAGAACGCTCTCTTAACACGGTTCCATAAATATCGGAGTGAATACCTTCGAGCTAGGCTTTGTATTTTCAAAAGTCAGTTCACGGCAGACACGACATACAGCCAAATGCCTGACTGGATGAGATCAACAATCGAGAAATTTCTTACTTCTTCACAACAGCAAGTAACTCAATTCGAGAAATAGAAAGCTTCTTGCGCTCCATCTAGTGATCAGTACCACTCACTGATGCCTCAGCTGAGCGTTCAGCAGCATTCGATCGTGACTTCAATATCTTAGCCAGATCTGGCCGATTGACTGCACTCATTTTCGAATGACAATGATCTTCATCTTTTTCCTTGTTCGATGAGAAGGATGTGTAGAACTTCAGCCGTTCTCGCATCCGCGGCGGAAACCTTAATCAAGGAACTCGAACACTGCATTTACATCGCAGCAATTCAAAAAGCTGATCTCAAAAAAGCAGGCATACCTGGGAAATGCCGCTTCAGCTTCTTTTCTCAGAAAATCTCCAACGAACATGTACTTGAAGTAGTAGAGCAGATCGCATAGCTCATCCTGATAGCAAAAAATGATACTCTTGGAAAAAATTACCTAACAAAAACATAGATGACAAAGAGCTCACCCCATGCAAAATATCCCCATAACGCTCAGTAATGTCGCCAATCTTCGTATAAAGTACGCTGACTACCTTGAGACTCTGAAACAGTAAGAATCAATACATTCCAACACACAAATTCATACAGCTGGAACACACCTTTGAGAACTATACGTTCTCATTTGGTACTGGTTGAAGTCATACCCGTGAATGTACATAGGGGAGGTCAAAACGTCTCTTTTGACGTTCCCGCCCTCAGTTCTCAGCGCTGTCCAAACTGCAGACCTGAGGGGTCTAATCCAATCAGGTCACGGTATCGAAGAAAATTTTAGCTTGAACTCAACAAAGAGGATTGTAGCTACTCTAGAGTGGAACACCTAAGATATGCCTCACTCAGCTAAACCGCTACGGCGGATGGCTTCACATTTTGTCAACGGTAGCAACACTGGGGTCTCACTTAAGTCCTTCAAGCTGCGTCACTCAACGCTTTCGTCTGCGCTCTCTTGCCATATCAGCGGCTCATGACCATTGTGATCCGACACATCCAAATTTTAGCCAATTGGT